ATATTAGATAGAAGATTAAGAGTTTATGTTAAGAAGAAACTAGCAAAGCAGCAACATGATTTTAGACCAGGAAGAAGTGCTATTGATTTAGATTTTTGTATGAATTTTTTGAGATTTTTGTATGCATTTGCCAGCGTTCCTAGTTGTTGTGGCAAGCAATACAGAATATAATATATATCCCAAGTTTTATCAAGCGGTACGGAGTATGTATAAAGTTTGTTTAATTGCAATGATACTCCCAGTCATGGAATGAACATATGTTTCAAGTAACCACTGGTGCACAGCATGGTAGCATACTCTCCACAATATTGCTCGTTTTATTAATGGAACAAGTACATTCCACCCAACTGTATGACTAAGGATTCTAAGACACTGGCATATATGGACGACATTAGTATTGTTACATCTATTGAGAAAGAGCTACAGATACACACACACACACACACACACACATATATATATATGTGAATGTGTGTGTTTGTATGGTACAAATTTCCTGAGGAATTTCGATTGAAGATAAAAGTTTTAAAGCAGAAATAATGGCATTGTCATATGTGCCAAAACAAACACTTGTTGTTGCAAATTGGACACCCTTAAAGCATACAGACAGCTTCAAATACCTAGAAGTTCCTTTACCCACTGCTAAGAAATAAGCACATACCACAGAAAATTATGGTTACCATATATATATATACTATCATACTTCGACCTCTATAGTTGCATGAGAATGGGGCATGGACCTTAAATATTAAATGAAAAGTAAAGACCAAGCAGCTGAGATGAGAGTCTTCTGCCTTATCAGATGTTTCACATTCAGAACCAAAATAAGAAAAGAAAATATTAGAACATGCCTGGGTGTGAAGGATGTGTTGATGGTCACTGGAGAGTTGCAGCTGAGATGATATGGCCACCTAGGGTGAATGGGGTGATTGGGCTGAATTAAATGACTTTTTATTGTGTATTTATTTTAGCATTGTATATTATTTATTATTTTAGAAGAGATTATCCTTAAAGTGGTTCCTGTGGAAGCCAAAGAAGGTGACTGCAAAGATGCCTTAGAAAATGATGGATAGAGAACACAGAAAAGGCAGTTGATGCAAGAAAACTATACTGAGTGAGATAGATAAGCAAAGTGTGTGCAGATTTTTACATAATTCAGCTATGCAAATTTCGAAACTAATATTCATTGTTTTCTATTACTTAAGGATTTTTTACAAATCTGGAAGAAAAACTCTTATTTAGGTCAAATTATTATTTATTTTACCACAATGAAAACTTTTTATTATTATGTTTGTTAACAAAAATGAAAATAAAACCTTCCTCACTGTCCTTTCAAACTGTTCATGCAAAGTCATTTTCCTAATCTAAGGCCCAACAAAAATTCCTTCTTTAAGTTGTGCTTCTGAAAGACCTGGGAATTGCTCACATAGATATTTCAAACAGTCGTCCATCTTTGTTTAAGGCTTTTACAAACTGCTCCATCAAGCCCAGTTTT